AAGCCGGTTGAATAATGCCAAACGTTTTATGATGGTAGTATAATTGATTGTACAAATCTGTCCCGGAATGCTGAGAAACGTACAAACAGTATTTTAATATTGTATAGTTTCAGAGTAAAAATATATGAAATTGATTTAATTAACTTACAATCGATTCATGGAAACGTTGCTTGCACACCAGATAATCTGGAAATTTCTTCGCGAAATCCAACGGCAGTCTCATTCTGTTGGAACAAAGTGGATTTTCGCATTCCTGTCAGCCAGTAGTACTTGGCAATTGCTTTTCTCATGGCAAGTTGAACTACATTTTGTACATGTTTAACTATGTTTACGTATTTCCAGGGTGGTAATTTACAGTTCTGATTAGTCAACACATGCTAAATGATAGCTGTCGACCAGAATGCTACAGAAAAAAATAACATATATGTGTATAAATACTTATATGACAATATAAATTTCTCATAAAAAAAATATCAATTTATTTGAGAAAATATGATAAGGATACTTAGAGTCTTGAAATTATAAAGTAAAAAGAATATTATGAATATAAAAGCAGAGATGAGAAACGGATGAGAGATAAGAGACATTCACAAATTCTGCAACGGTTATATCCTTAATTATTACTTCCGTATTACATCGTTCATTTTTGCATTTAAATGTCAAAGGCAGCTGACAATTGTTGAACTTGTCATTATTAATAGCCAGGTAAGTTCAGAGTTGCTTCGCAAGCTATCGTCTTATTCTGTTTAAAAGATCCGATTGAATTAGATAAGAAGAAACCTATATACAATTCTATCGTGTTTTTGTTTGGTTCGTAAATATCAGATTTGTTATCTTTTTTTACTCTATTTAGTACATACTATATAATTTAAAAGTCACTTTAAGTAATGTTTAGCTTTGATGTTTAGTCGAAATTGATATTATTGTACAATGTTTTCAGTTTATGTATGATTTATTATGTAACATTTTAATTTTAGAGACTGTGTGTCTTTTATATCTAAATAATTTTAATATTTCTTACAAATATAATAAAATACTTTTTAAGTAACGGTAACGATAACAAATTATTTTAAAAAATCAGCAACTAGTAACAGTAACTAGATATTTTTTTTAACTCGATAACGAGTAACGATAACTAGTTACTTTTAAAAAGTAACTTTCCATGCAAACAAACAATAGTAATCAAACGACGATGTTTATCCTTGAAGTATTGCGTCGCTGTCCCAACGAAACTGCACTGCTAGCGAGAGTGTACCCCTCGCTGTGAGACGAACAATCCGGCGGCGGCTCGTCGATCGCGAAATGCTCTTGTTTGCGCGCTGCCGAAGAAAAGCCGATTGATTCGCAATTGGCATCCTCGTGAATGACCGCCAAGTGGACCAATCGCATTTCTTTGCAGTAAATCGCCCAGATCATTTACTTCCGTTGCATTCATCGCGATAACGAACGCGAACGTTATATACGATATACGTCAAAGGGACTACACAACAAATTCGGTATTGTGCGCGTGTAGAGAAAAAATACTTTGCGGCCTTTTGGCGTTGCGCGCGCGAAAGATAGGTAAGTATATCTATAAGAGTCCTATAGATTATCAGAGAAGCGCGACCGGTGTTATGAGTCCTGATTGGACTCGCAAATGGTCAATCATAAGATTAATTCATCGGTATTATAAATGGCTGCCGAATGAATAAATTTACATCGATAATAGTTATGGTAAGTTAGAACATTTTATTTAAATACAATGATATTTATGCATGCTGTAGTACATAAAAATATTATTTTTTTAGTTCTTTTCAGTATTTTAAGATGCTTATAAGCATCGAATGATTATAGGAAGATCAATATGGTATTTCTATTCCTATGGTATATTTATAGCCTCAGCTAATAATTGAGTTTCAAGTCCGAACATTTAATCGGCGCGCAGTTTAATGGCTGTACATGGATTTCAAAAAAATTCATATAGAATTTATTTTAGGCGTCTAAGATCCAGCCGTGACCGTAAAGGCGCTCTTAAAGTTAGTTGTGTTATTCACTTAGGCGGTCTTATTAAAAAAAATTATTAATTAATTATTTTTTCAACTTTTTTTTTTATCTTAAATGATATATTTCATAATCCGTCTACAATTCGACGCCATTTTCAATATTTTTCTGGTACTTTTGCGACACTGCCGGTCGCGCTTCTCTGATAATCTAGGACTCTAGGTATATCCAACTCGTTACCAGCTCGTTACAGGCATTTCCGATATTTGTTTGACGACGCATTCAAAAGGGCGGTAACGCAAATGGAAATTAATAATGTTTGCACGTCTGTTTGCCGCCGTGGGCGGTACGGCGCGGCGCGGCGCGGCGCGACGATGGGACGGATTTTCGAGCCCGTGATATCCCCAAATCTAACCGGGCCATCTCTCGCGTCTCGGTTTGCATCGTGACGTGGCGCTCGAGCGCACGATGGAGAGCGCGCTCGAAATTTTTGACATCATTAATTTAACGTCGCAAGGGTGACCGAAAGTGGCCGGCTGATATATAGTATCACACGATCGATAACGCTTATCGCGGTTTCCATGGATACCATCAGTCACAAAACCGAGCTGTCCCATGCTCCTCCGCAAATGGCACATGGTTTCATAAAAAACGTCCCGTTTGTAATCGCAACGAGATAACGTCTGAATTACAGAGATAAAAATGCGTCAGCTCTCGTTGCTAAGGGTGCAGAATTGTCGGACCGCGCGAACGAACAATCGGCGCCTTCGACGAAGGGCGAGCCCTTTGACTGTATAAGTATGGACTGATAGTAATTAACTTCATACGTATCGCCAAGCCGGAAGATGTAGACTCCACCCCAGTAATCAGTAATTTTCTGCGGGGAGGGGGAAGGCTTCTGTGAAATCAGCGTATTTAGGACGTGTAGAGCTGAAAGGTGTTGAGTCTGTTTTTAATTTCTTTCCGCCGATTTAAGATTTTTTCCGGCTCCCTATCGATATTGTCAACATAACATAATTAATACATTTTGACATATTTGACATTTTTTTGACTGACTGGACCGTGGAGCCAAAAAATCAAAGTTCGATATCCGAACTAACTTATAATTCAGTTCGGCGACACCCGCGGACATGAATGTTTTTTACATAGTGAAAGTGGGGGGGGGGGACTAGCAGTCCGTATTTATATACATAGTCAAAGGGCGAGCCACGCCGAAGTGGTTTGTGTTCGTACTACATCTCCCCGCGTTCGTTCGCTCGATCCGCGGCTCAAGAGACGCGCAATTCGTGATTGCGCTCGCGGGAGTCGTCCGTCCCGCGCGCAAGATATAGGTATTCGCGCGGATGCTCAATCGATCGCGACGGACTGACACGTACGTAGTACGTACGGCCGCGGCGATGCGTATCATTTCCACGATATACGCACTATTTGCGTATCCATTATCGAGGTATTATCGGGGAACAAGCCCCACTAGAAGAGAGTCGTATCGCTGCGCGCGATTTCGACGCGATATGTGTTTCAGTATGTAACGGCAGCCCCCCGCGAACCCTTTGAGCGATTTCCTGGGACCCGCGGGTGTGTACATAGTCGAGAACACGCGTTTATCGCGGTGGGCTGAATTTTGACTCGATCGAGGTAAACGAACGGATGCGCGTGCCCGCATCCGGTTTATTACCCGGCGCGGATAGTTCCGCGCGTTTCGACAAGTTCGCGTTATTGTCGAGGCGGTCGTGCAGTTGATTCGCAAACCGCGGGTGCGGGATAGCCAAATCGCGGACGGTTAACGCGCGCGCGGTCAGTTAATGGAAGCTAACGATTTGCACCTCAAAGGCGTCTCTCTCTCTCTCTCTCTCTCTCGCTCTCGTTTGTCGTAACTCGCGGGAAGTTATATCGCCCCGCAGTCCGGGCGGGGGGAGGGGGAGGGGATGAGCGTTAAGCGAGAGACCGTCTGACATCAAGGCTGCGTTCCGAGCTAATTTGGAGAGAGGTAGATTGGAATAGGTCAGACACATCCGATCTTAATAAAGCCGCTACTCTGGCCTGATTACTCTGCGTTAAAAGTATATACGATACGCGCGCTAATGAAAGCAAACACAAGCGCCTCCCACGATTCGAATAAGCAAAAACGCCGTGTTTAACTGGATTATACCTACACCCGCGCCGTGTAGAATGTCGAATGGCAGGGATAAAGTAATTTCTGCGTAAACATTTAAAAGCTTTCGCACGCGCGTTTCGGAGGTTTTCGGCGCGACCTTTCATTTCGCGTTTTTCCCCTGTCCCTCGATTGGGGAGGGAGAGGGAGAAACGAGCGTCGATAACACTTTGAGATGGAAATTGCATTTGCGGTGTGAATACCTCTCTATCTCTCTCTCGTTGGAATTCGTTTAAAGAGCCCCCATTTTCGGTAACGCAGCCACGCAATTCGTTCGCGTAAATTGGCGATTTAACGCGTTGTTAATTGTTAACGATTAATTTTCCCCTCCGTGAAACGGCTCGATGTATTTTATATGTCACAGTTTAGAGTCTGTAAATTACTTATAAAAATCTCTCTCTCTCTCTCTCTCTCTCTCTTTCTTTCTCTCAAAAGATTATAATCACTTTGGAGAAGAGGGTGGGAAAAGCACTCAGAGAGTATACCTTCGTGCTTCGTTCCGACGGAAATATTAATCGGTAAGTTTCGACCCGAAGTTTCCAACGGCGGCGCGACTGACAAGCTTTCCCCCTGGTGACTCCCTTCATCATATGCTGTTCTCCGATGTTCGTTAAGCTCCGATTCAACTGGTGACTCGACGTGTGTGCGGGGACTCGAGAAAAATCCGAACCCGCAACGGTAAACGCTCGCGCGCTTTCCGCCAGCTTGCAGAACTGAAGGTTCCCTATTCTCATCTCAAGAATGGAGTAGAGGGCTCGACGAAACGGGCGGTTCCCGCGCGGGTGGAAATGGGTCGAGGACTCTCGTCGTGAGTCGCGCCAATACGCCAAACGTGTTATACGGCGCGATGAGATCCCCGTGCCCGAATATGACCGAGATGATCGTGCTGTGCAAACGGTGAGTGCCCGCGGTGGTTGAAAGTTGTAAGCCGCGCGGCTCTCTGTTGTATAAGAGAGAGATGCGCGCCTTGGCGAGTATATATATACCTATAGGTATATCCAGGAACTGACGACCGTTAATTCCGCAGAATGAGATCCTTGAAATACCTCGGCCGATACAATTACGGGCTGTGGACGATCGAGCCGAGTATCCTGAGCATCATCGGATATACCGTGGTCATTCCCGTAGTTTCCGCACTCGGGATAATCGGCAACTCCCTGATCCTCGCGGTCCACTTGAAAGCGAAGACATACCTGAAAGGGTCGGCATACACGTATCTGGCAGGTCGGTGCAGGAGTCGTCGCCCCCGGAATCAGCCCGTGAATTAACGTGGAATTCAAGCTCGCATCGGCTAGATTTGTTATTGTTGCGCGCTCGGAGAGAGAATATCCACCCTCCCCTCCCCTCCGCTATCCTCCCCCGTAATCTACTTTTGACGACAATTACGCTACGCCGAATCGCCCGCGAGCCAGAGAATTTCGGATAATTGGAGAATAGTTTGTGAGAGAGATATACGTTCGATCTCTTAAAATGTTCCAAGTAATATTAATTACGATATATCGTTAGAAATTAATTACATCGAGAGTTTACATGTAATTTTTACACAGTGCTCGCGATCTCGGATCTGATCAACTGCATCCTCCTCGTCTTCTCCAGTCTGGCCAGGGGCATTTTTCGTTGCTACAAGGGATGGCTGGAATTCGACGCGTTCGTTCACTTTCCGATCGGCTCCGTCACCTCGAACATCATGGTCTGGGCCGCGTTAGGCGTGAGCATCGACAGACTGATAATAGTCTGTAGGTAAAGACACAGAAATCATAGATCATTCTGTTTAGACTTGCAGGTAAAGATTTAAAAAATTAAGATATATATACATACGCTTTTCATTGGCAAAAGAAAGATATGGCAAAAGATATTGTTAATTAAAATAATTTAACGAGAAACTAACATATAATGTTTCTGACTCTTCAATTAAAAAAATAAAAAGGAATCAAATCAGGCATTAAAAGTCCAAAAACGCAGAAATTAGTGCGTAACAAAATTTAGTTAAAAATATATACCTAACTGTTGGTTACATCTCTATACAGAGTTTCTCTCCATTTGGCCTACTTCAGGCTTTCTTTAGCGATGATTACAATGCGATGGTACAGTATTAGTATCAGTAACAATAATTTATTCCGCAAATTCGTCCACATATGTTTTGTAATGTGTCAGATAAGCCTCCAATTTTAGGATTAAAAGCGTCATCTATATTAATGACAATGTTTTTTAAAAAATATTTATGACTTTAGTTAAAATATAACGATCTCAAAGCTCTTGTACTCATCATTACGAGAACAAATCAAAATGCATATAAATTAAAGAAATACAACAAGAATATAGCGAAATCGTAAAATACGTTGAAATACACGTCTTATTTACTGAATAAATTATTGTTACTGATGTAATATTGTAACATCGCATTGTAATCATCGATGAAGAAAGCTTGAAATAGGCCGAAACAAGAGAGAGAGAGAGAGAGAGAGAGAGAGAGAGAGAGAGAGAGAGAGAGAGAGAGAAAGACTCTGTATAAAGATATAACTAACAGTTATATAGTTTTAACTAAATTTTAGAGGTGTGCGAATCAAGCATTTATATAATATGTTCGAATCGAATCGAATCAAATCTCTTCAATTCGAATATAAATCGAATCTAAATTATCAAATGTTCTCAAATTTACGTTACATGTTAATTTAAACGTAATAAATATCAAAATTTATAATTTACATTATTTTATGCAATGATTTAAACAAACTGAAGACCTGTTTTCAATTTACATCTTATTACGATCGTGATCTCATGTGACATTTTAAATTAGAAAATACGTAACTAATAATATGTGTATACAAGAATAGTTAGAATGCTTTCGAACATTTTATTAATCTATATGGATATATTACATACATCAAAAATACTTGGTTATTTATTAGAAAAATAATTTGTCACGCGAGAGATATAAATGGAGCAATAAAATAGACGATCGATTCAGAATCGAATCACTGTTGACTCGAAATTCTCGAACTATTCAATTTCGAATCTTACAGAATCGAAAAACGAACTTGAATTGAATTGTGATTCGATTCGAATTCGAACTATTCGCAAACCTTCACTAAATTTTACGTTACGCACCAATTTCTGCATTCTTGGACTCTTAATGTCTGATTTGATTCCTCTTTAATTTAACGGGACCCCGATTCTACAGCATGCCGCGATGCAAATCACCCAAATTCTGTAGGCGGGAGGTGGCGCGCAAGCTGATGATCATCGCCACCTGCTTCGCCATTTTGATCAACATACCGTACTGCTTCATGTACAAGTACAACGACCGCGGCGAGCTGGTGACGACCAGCTTCTTTCACTCGCGGTAAGAATACGGCGGTAACGATAATCGACGAAGAGGTGTCCCGGGACATGCGTATACCCCAATTCCCATTCAATTTCCGAAAATATTCTCTGCAGCTACCCCTGACTCTCTTTTGCGGAGATCGCATTAATATCTCCTCTCCCAGCTGTGCGAATAACGACATTTCCGTTATATTCTGCTCACGAATTCAATTTCGGTCGGACTTCCGACCTAAATACCACAAATAACATCTCGGGATGGCGATTTGCAGGTGGTTCTACCTTCAGAATTGGCTTCAATTCGTAGTATTCGGCCTGATACCGGCCGCATTTCTGCTCATCGCGAACGCCATTATGATATACTCCGTGAGGAGGATCCTCAAGCAGAGGGAGATACTGTTGAGGCGCAAAAACGTACGCGAGGGGAATCGTCTTTGGGTAACGTAACTATACATTAGTGCGAAGAAAAATCCGCGGAGATGTTTATCGCGCAAGTTCGCGCGACTCGACAAAGGATAAGGCCGCGAGATCGCGGCGTACCGTAAATTAGTCTCAATCTAAAAACACGCCGTCGGATAGGCGGTCGGACACGGGAGTCTTTCGATTGCGGACCATAGAAATCGTAATCAGTTTCTGAACTCGCGCGCCGCGCCACTTCAGGATTCCATCCGCCTACCGGAACCTTGAGTGAACGGCTCTCGCTGTACTGCATCACTTTAGAGCTCACTCGGAGCGCGATTTGCATGAAACTCATCCGGGTACCGAGTGGTATCCGGAAACAGAGTCTCGCGCGAGTCATTGTTGTCTCGCGTAATTGGAAAAGTTTCCTCTCGAAAACCGACGATAACACCGTTGTCTTTGCGAGCGCAATTATTAAAACTTTGTCGTCGCGCTTGCTGCGTAGACATCCGCTTCCATTATAGCTTCGAATAGCGTATCCGAAATGACTTTGATCCACTTATCTCGGTAATGAACACCTTTTTCTATTTGTTTGTTAATTACACTATAATTTACGGTAGAAAATTACTTTGAACCGGAACTAAGCGTTTTTCAAAGATTTTTGATTGCTGAAAACAATGCCGCAAGCCAAAAAATTCCAACATGTTAGGTTTTTAAGATAATTTAAGATTTAATGTAAAAAAATGTCTTCTTTTATGATATTTTACATTTTTCTTTAAAGAAGATTAATAAAATGCTGATTGTCATCTTGAAATTCCAATCAGAAGTCATATATTATTCATCCCCTATAAAATTAATAAAATTTTTTTTATTTCAATAGCTTACTCTTTAGTCACATTATAAAGGATTTAAATACAAGATTTTTCTAAGATAACAAATTTTCCGTCTAATAATGAGGTTATATGTACTTATAATTCCTACTTTATGCTTATGGATGCATATACACGACGTAATTTATCGTGATAGATTCCGATAAATATATAAATATATGTATATAGGTATATATATATATATATATATATATATACCTATATATACCAGCCGGATTGGGTAGTGCCTAGTTAAAAAGATAAATTTAAGTTAAAAAGTTAAATAATTTTAACTTATTTTTGTTACATTTTAGACTCTTAACTTTTAACTTAATTTAGTTACATTTTGTCGGTTACTATCAATTTTTTATTTAATTTCCTTAAGTTACACTGTTAATGCTTCTTATGTAAACTCGAGAAAAAATACACATCTGCGTTGATATCTTCAAACTCGAATTTGAGAACGCATATATTGAGACAAGTTGTTTGTATAATAAATATGTATAGTTTGGCCGCGAGAAAGGATCGCTATTCGTGAGCATTCTATGCATTGAATCATGTTGGAAAAAGTCCCTCGAAATCGGTTTTCTTTCTGCGGTTTTCTTTCTGCTTCCGACGGAAATAAGTATAAAAAATATATACGTTATTCAGAAACTTTATTTAGAAACCCTGAAATTGTGAAATAAAAAATTTAACTATTTAATTATTTTTTTTATTAACTTAACTTTTAATTTAATTAATTTTATTATGAATTAACTTGTATTTTAACTACTAATAAGTTCAATTTTTAAAATTGTTAACTTTTTAAAATTTAACTCACAAACTTGTTAGTTAAAAAAATATTAACTTACTATTATTTTAAATCATTTTGAATATCTTAAAGAAAACGCATTAAAAAAAAATTTCTTTAGACAAAAGTTGTCTAAAAGAAAAATGATCTGAAGAGAAACAAATAATAACAAAGTAGTTAATCGCATATCCACAAGTGACGCTGCCCGAGTGTTCCCATATTATAGCTTCAATCTTTTAAAACATGACTAAAAATGCGATATTGAAATTTAAAAAAATGCATTTTATGAGAGATGATCAATACATTCATAACTTCTGATCGAAATTTCATGACATCGTTAACCTTCTTTACAAAAAAAATGTCAAATTGCCGAAAAAAGCTATTTTTTGGACATTATATTTCAATTATCTTAGAAACCTGACATGCTAGAGAAATTTGGCTTGCAGTATCGTTTTCAGCATCCAAAAATCAATAAGAAACACGTCATCTAATTTAAAATAATAAAAAAAAGCATTTTTTTAAACTAGCGTTACTAATTATGGGTTTTAATTGAATTAGATTTCCCTTAAACTAGTGTTTCTCTTTTAGAAGTCCCTTAAACTAGTTATTAATTATGGATTTTAATTGAATTACATTTTCCTTTATTAGTTAGTCATTGTAGAGTCGTCCAGTGAAATGTTTCCAAGCAATACGCGCGCGTCTAAAAGACGTCTCGAGGACATTTCGCTTAGTCTCGTTTTTACCTCTTACTAATTTGCTATCCGTCAGGATCAAGCCCGACTAACGATCATGCTGGTCGGTATCGTATTTCTGTTCCTCGTGGGCGAGCTGCCAACTCATTTGGCGTCACGTCGCAGCGCCGTGTCTCTGCTTTACGGTGGTGATCCCTCCAAAGTTCAGGAGGACTTCATGGAAAGGTGAGTGGTGAAAACGTGCTGCGCGACGCGGCAATTGTTAAAGCAACAGCCCTGAGCGGTCAAAAGGGTGCCTTTGCGCGCGAAAGGGAACGTTTTTCTCGACGTGAGTTTTCCCGCCGTTAAAAGAGAAACGCGGCGAAAAGTATAATATTCGTTATGAAAAATAAAGAAAGAAAAATATGATACACGAGTACTCGACATTCGAGTAATCTACCTTTGAGAGTATTTCAAACCGAGATGACGGCGGGATTATAAAGGACAGTTTTCTTCGATTACAAAGGATTGCCACTTTGTAATTTTATACACGGAAAGAACAATTTTGCTGAATTCAGATCTGAAAATAATTTTTGTTTAATAATCAAAATTATTTAGTGCGAAAGTTAAAATGATTGCTAAAATATCAAAACGTTTTAGCAACACTTATCAGTTTTAACATTCCAACAAATTATTTTGGTGATTCAATAAAAAATTATTTTCAGATTTGTTTTTAGCAAAATTTTAAGGTCTTTCAACAAAATCGTTCTTTTCGTGTATATATGTATATACACACACACACACACACCTGTCTCTTATACACATCTCTGAGCGGGCTGGCAAG